TAACTGTTCCTCAGCCAGCTTGGGAACCCCTGCATCAGTAATAGAAACATAAAGTGAATCCAGGTCTCTGATGGAAACATAAAAACCAGGACACCTGTCTAGAGCGTGTCTCCTCCCTAAGCTGAAAGAAGCCTTTGATGTCTAACAAGAAGAGTTTGATCGACTGAGCATCAGGAGAAACCCTTTTGACTAAAGCCTTCAAAAAACATCAATACTATTCTTTGTTGTGTGAGTTTACTCTGCACTTTAGTGTAGGTTAGCTGAATATAAACTGGAGCCGGCGCGCGCAGAGAGCCATTTTCTCCACTTGCTGCAGCAGTTTCTCGTGTATGTGTGATTATTTTGTTGTGCGGTGGTAGATAAACAATGGGCAGAAGTAGTTTAACATACATGTTTATTAGTACGTTTATTTTGCTCGTTTTTAAATAAATTGGACACCATTGTTTTTTTACATGCAATAAATTTACAGATCACATTCCCCTGGTGAAAGCAGAAAGGTATGTTTTTCCTATTCAATTTATATCCTAAAGCCCATATTCATTTTATGTGAATATGATTTAGGATGTTTAGTTTTTACTGTGATCTGTTGACGTCATCATTTTGATGTTGTATTCTAGGGATCCACCAAAAGCAAAATGAAATCACCCGTTCACTACGCTAAATTGTGTCTCCAAAGCCGGGATGTTGCCCCACACCCTAACATAAAATAGGTCACATATAAGATAAGTAATAACTATGTAAAACGATGTACCAAGCACCAGGACTGCTAAACAGTGTTGAAATGTTTTGCATGATTCTATCTCATCCAAATTTAGCTGCATTTACCAATAACCAGAAATATCAGACACATGATTCAGAACTCTGATGAGGTAAACTGCTCCTCAAAGTAAACTTCTTTCCATATTACCCAGATATGCAGCCTGTTCTGGATACTTCTTAGAGTTATGTTGCTATGAGTTTAAAACACACTGATATAAATACTGGAACTAATTCAGTACAAAATATAAGATGTTTTTCAGCTTTTCAACTTGGACTCTCAGTGTGGATCTCCGTGATGGGGAAAGATGATCTCATTCTGAAGACCTAAGTTTACAATAAACAAACGATCTGATCATTTAATACCTAAAACTAATTTAAACTGGATGTTCACACTGATCTGCACATCTTTGTGTTACATTATAAACATCTTTTTACAAGTTTTCGACTTCTAAAAACAAAAACTTTGATTTGCCAATAAACAAATGTGATGTACTACAGATTGAGATAAGAAAGTTACTGAAACTGTTTTCCTGATAAGTTTTTTGTACATGATTTTTCTGTTGTTTGATTTTTCTTCCTTTGTGGCTATAGATGGGCGACAGTGGCGTTGGATGTAGGAGTTTGCCCTGAAATTGAAGGGTTGACAGTTCAAGCCCCTACTCCGACTTTCAGTGTCGTTGTGTCCTTGGGCAAGACACTTCACCTGGTGGTCAGAGGGCCCGGTGGCGCCAGTGTACGGCAGCCCCGCTTCTGTCAGTGAGCCCCAGGGCAGCTGTGGCTACAATGTAGCTTGCCACCATCAGTGTGTGAGTGTGTGTGTGAATGGGTGAATGAATGTAGTGTAAAGTCCTTTGGTCAAGTCTCCTAACTTGAATAAAGGCGCTATATAAGTACATGCCATTTACCATTTACCATATAGAAAATCTGCACCCACATCCTTGAAAGCTATGATTCCTTTAAAATGAGTCATGTTGTATCTGTACCTAAGACTTGACCAATGAAGATGGATGTGTGTGTTTGTGTATAATTTAGACTGGCGTATTGGTTTGTGTGAGTCTGACCTTGGGGAAGCGTTCCTTGTAGACATGGTTCATCATCATTATTTCATTGTCATAGCAGGATGGGGAGCGCCCCGGACTAAGGAGGAACAAACACAGACAGCAGAAAGAGTAAAATATATAAATATGTGTACTGATGCAGCCCTGAACAGGAGAATAAGCAGTAAAGTAATTGCAGTTAAGAAATACTGTCCTCTTAGAGAGATTTTCTCTGCCCCCATTTGGAAGCAGATCATTATGTTAATACACTCATTAGAAATTCAGCACAGTCTGCTTCTGTAATGTTTTAGGGCAATTCCCATTAACACTAGAATCACTTTTTATGCTAAATTATCACACAGCAGTAAAAAGTTGAAATAATCTGAAGTTTATAACTGCTAGGTCTCTATTTTAGGTCTGGCACAGTTATTCAGATTAATCATGATCAATCCAGCTGACACCCTTGGCTGGCCTCGGGACAAAATCAAAATATGCGGATATCAAAATATTTGGCAGTTTGGGCTTTCCATACCTGCTCAAGTCGCAATTGATCACAAATACAGACTTCATCTGGTGTGGCACGTTTAAATTTGAGCACAAGATGTTATGGCAAAAACCTTTCTAGGCAGTTAAACCTGTACAGCAGCAACCTTTTAACAGTACCCGCGACCCAAAGTAAAGTTAAGCTGTTCCTGCGGGTTAAGGCTATGTTCTGTATTTCACTGTTTTTACCTGTAGCGCAGTGAGCATTACGTATAGCAAGTTGATAAACTTTAAAGATGCTGTTTCACGTAAAAAATAACCGTGAGGCACCAAGGAATGCCGGGGGAATTACTTCCCCAATACAGCAGTGGACAATCAGAAGAGAGTAATAACAGGAAAACGATTTTATGTAAATGAAATTAACGCAGCATTTCTTTGCAAACACTTCTTTGAAAAAAAACAAATGAGTAAAAAGAAATGCTCTTGGCAATAGATGGAGAGGCCCGGTTCATGGCCCCCCTTTTATCCTAGGGCCATCAGCGGGTGTGATTGTGATTAATCAATTATACAAGTACTATATACATATAAGATACATAAACTTGGTCAAGTAGTATTTCTAGGCATTAAATTTAGTTTTTTGAGGGGGATTTAGTTTTGTTTTTTGTCATTTACACTGCATTAGAAGGTAGAAATTGTTTGTTTTTTAGGTATGTTAGTTTACAAAATGTTCTCATTTTAAGAATAATCAATTTAATGAAAAGATAAACAATATATTACTCAATTAGTGAATTCATTAAAAACTGCAGCTCTACTCGATGTACACAATTTGAAAAAACTCTCAGTTAGAAACTCATAAATTCAGTTCCTTCCTGATCACCAAACCGAGCACCAACAGGTCACAATAACCACATCAACCTGAAGGAGTAAGACTCAAGGATGGCTTTATTTTAGGGATGCACGATATTGGGATTTTGGCCGATATGCCGATATTTTAAAACTCATGTAGCCGATAACCGATATCGATACC